CACGTTCTCAACAGGGCTAGATGTACATAAGAAAGAGTATCAGTCCATTTACCAAGATGCATTGTCCCATTTCTCGCTCTTGTTTTAGGTCAACTGGAAGCTTCTTTTTTCAGTTTTTCTAAAATCTCATCTGGTGTCATCGATGCCAAAATCTTCACCACTTTTTCACGTGATTTACCACCCTGGTTTAGACACACACAAAAAAACATCTTTCAGAGAATCACCACCAAATACACATTCCAAAAAAATCTCACTGTAATGCCAGCATTTCCGGTACTTTAAAAATAATTCTTAAAGTGTGGGTATGCAGAATTAAAAGCAGTAAGAGATAGCTCATCAATGTCCTTTCTAGTTACCTGAAAGGTGGAAAACAACGTCTTATCTACTCTCCTTTTAAAACTGGATACAGCTCCTAGAGCATGCCCTAAATTGGTGCTCTTTTTATAGGCTAGAATGAAAAGCAAGGAGTGATAAGTTTCCATAATTCATTTGTATCACCTGGAAGCAAGACTCCAACTAATTTGCATTTTTGTTTTTCAAAAGTGGGTGTGTGTATATATATGTATATTTGGTAACCATGTACTTTCAGATCTTTGTTCAGAGTTGTCTCCCACAGAGTATTAGTTACTCTTAAGCCGAGTTCTCAGGTCGATAATATCAACTAAATAAAAAGAAATCACATTGTATATAACCTATAAGACACTCAGCTTCGTACAGCAGTTATTTGAAATATTATTGACCTGGTTTTGCATTACTGAAAAAAAGGCTGTTTCACATAGGAACTGGCAAACCTGCCACCTCATTTCATATCGCCCGAAGACACAACTTTGCTAGTACTCAGGAAACATGGGAAACAAGTTGCTTGTTAATCTGCAGCCTGGCAAAAAGTTTGAAAAGCCCACAAGGGACATCCTGAAGGAAGAAAAAAAAAAAGTCCTTAACTCTACTGTACAGAAATATAGCATGAATTTAAAATTAAAAATCGATTTTTGAAGCAGTCTAGCCAGCTGATGATGAAACTCAAGGCCCTTGCATAGAAATCTGGTAACCCCAGTTTTACACTGGATCATTTCCCACCGATTTCCCGATTTGGATTGGTTTTGTTAATGTTATCACTTATCATAAAGCAAGTAGCGCAAAAGAGAGCAACCAGTGCCAAAAATCACTTGCTGTTTACACCTAGCAGATCAGGATGGAAAAATCTAAGCCACAGGTAGAATACAGACTTTGCCACAATGCTTCACTGAGAACAAACCGTGGCTTCTGAAGAACAAACACTAGCATGTGATTATTCGGACACCGTAGGTCAGAACAACCGAGTCAAGAAGGTCAGGCAACACCGGCCCCTTTTATGTTCAACTCTGCTTAGCAGTTATGAGAATAATCTAGTTAAACCTGAACAGCCCTTCAAGGCAGGAAAACAGTGTTATCTGTAAAGTGTTGACAAACAAATTAAGCAGTTTGCCCATGATTCGGGAAAAAACAAGCCTCAAATCTTTGCATCTCTACCTTTCGGCAACACAGTGCTCGTTGCGTTGATCACGCTGCCATTTACCACTATCCTTTAACAGACTTCTACAACTACTACATTAAACCAACAGACAAAAATAAAAAGCACAATTTTTCGTTGTGCTCTCATGTTCATAGACTATAAATGAACACGGCTGGAAAGACTTGACTTTAAATACAATGAATTAATAAAACAAATTATTTATTCAGTGCAATGAATAAAACAAAGAGTTTCCGCTCGCCAAAGTCCAGGCACGTAAATTCTAATACACAGAAATTCCTGAGGCCCAGCTATAATCCAAGTGCTTATATATGCTCTTATGTGTGACAGTTAATTGTCAGAAAACGTTCACTCAAATACAGAAGTTACTTCAAAAAAAATGAATGCAAAGTTATTAATAAAATGCACATTCTCTGCAAAGCACAAATTTTGTGAACTGCATGTGACATGAAGACAAGAGAATCTTTGAAGAACGCAGAAAACATGAACCGCACAAATTTGGAAAACGTATCATGATGAGAACTATTCTGATTAAAGATCTCAAGATCAGCTGTGGTTCTTCCTACACTAGGTTTGTTCTCAGTGAGTTGAGTTGATGGAATGATTCAACACCTTTAAAGTGTCTTTTGGACTGAACTTGGAGAGCAGCTCCCTGTATTCAACGAGTACGTTTCAAAACGTAGGATAGGACGAGAGGAAATGGCCTCAAGTTGCGCCAGGGGAGGTTTAGATTGGGTATCAGGAAAAATTTCTTTACTGAAAGAGTGGTTAAACATTGGAACAGGCTGCCCAGGGAAGTGGTTGAGTCACCATCCCTGGAAGTATTTAAAAGACGGGTAGATGAGGCGCTTAGGGACATGGTTTAGTGGGCATGGGGGTGTTGGGTTGACGGTTGGACTCGATGATCTTAGAGGTCTTGTCCAACCTTCATGATTCTATGAAAACCTTGAATTCAAATTGCAGAAGGGCAAGACTGAAAGGAAAAAAAAAAAAAAAAAGGAAGTACCTTCTCTAAAATAACTTCACTCTTCTTCACTTCTAGCACCTTAGAGAGGTAGCGGCACAGCTCTGCATTTGCCTCCCCTTCTGACGGAGGTGCAGCAATAGCTACACCTACTGCCTCAGCTGTCACATCTGTAACAAACGTTTTAAGGATTTTATGCTCAAAATATTCAAAACATCTAGTTATTGTCTCCTAAAAATGAATGTTTATGCTTTCAAAAGCATTTTAATTTAAAACCAAATACCCTTGTAGATTAGCAGGTAACAGCGTTTTTACACTTCACAAGTTCCCTGAAGTTAAACCTGTTAGCCAGCACAAAGACAATCTTCCGACACAAGGAACAGTGAAGCCCCCAGACCTGCATCAGCGCGCAGCCGCGAACCACCAGTTTTCACACAAGCGGGGCGCTGCTCTAAGCCCCCCTCCATGTTGCCCGTTCCGCTGCAGGCGTAGTCCAGCTTGGCGTCACGTAGCGTAAGACGTACCAGGTCACCCCACCAAAAAACAGACCCCACGATAAATAAGTCTGCCCGGAGAGCCGTGCTATCATCAGCGATTCCCTCGTGTCGCCAGCTGAGCCTGGATACTCTACGACAGCCTGCCGTGTTCGCCTCACACGCGGACCCGGACAAAAAGCCGTCCCAATTTGCTGACGACCCAGTCCAGATTTGTAGAGGGAGAACGCATTTTATTAGATCAAACTTTTACAGTTCAAATAAAACCGCACAACCTCGTGGGACGCCAACGGCGGGCGTGGAACGACACACGTCAAACGGGCGCTCATCGAGCGCGTCTGCCGTTACTCCTGTCACAAAAATCTGTTGAGAAGAATTCACGTCGTGCTCCGCTGCACCAGCTGGCGTTACCTACGGGGGAACGCGAGAGAGCTCCTCCCGGCTTAAGAAAAGCGTGACATTGCCACTGCCTTTAGTTTTCTGACGATTTTTTTCTTTTTTTCTCTTTGTTTTTTACGGATCGGGGGTAAAGCTGTGAAGAAAGCCCCTCTAAACCTTCAGACAAGCTAAAGAAAGGCTGAGAACAAGGCTGTTCCTCGGGGCGGGAAAGGCCGCCCGCGCCCCCTCTTCGGAAGAGGCG